TAGTGACTAGGACTGCCTTTTTCCAGCTCCAGCCAGTTCGCCAACTAAAGTTCATCTAAAGTTATATATGCCTGGAATGTATTTCTAAGGAAGGTGCCTACAGTCAGGTGATCTTGTGAGCACACCATTCTGAAGTGGTACAGTTTAGAAAGAGGACTATCTCCTCAATGAGAATTTGTCAAGATTGTCATAATCAACTGTATGACAGCTTCTCCCAGGAATGCAATGTGAAAATAAGAAATAGGAGAAGAGTACTGGGAGAAAAACGTGGACTGGGCGCACACCATACCTTTAAACAGTGCTTTTTCTGGGGGTACGCAGGGGTATGCATACCCCTAAGCATTTTTTGAATCTCAATTTGGCCTCATTGTGGGGCAGTAGGAAAATGAGAGTACCCCATAAGGCACATTCAAAGCACACACACACGCTCACAAAGAGAGAGAGAGAGAGAATTCTGAGAACTGTGGTTTGCCTAGGGTGCTGGGAATTGTAGTTCTGTGAGGCATAAGTTGCAGTTCTTGGTGGGTGTGCTTTGTAGGTGCTTTAAACGTATGGTGTGTACACAGCTGTGGTTGATAACTGGGCCATTCACATTGATGGTGCCTGTACTTCTTGGCCTGTTGTTTAGATCCTCATAAGAACATAAGAAGAGCCTGCTGGATCAGGATCAGGCCAATGGGCCATCCCGTCCAATATCCTGTTCTCACAGTGGCCACCTAGATGTGGCCACTGCCTGTGGGAAACCCACAACCAGGACCCCCAAGCACAAGAGCACTCTCCTCTCCTGTTTTTGCCCCAGCAACTGGTAGCACTGCTGAAGAATCAGCCTGGAGATTAGCATAATCCTTGTGTGTTAGACACTCTGCCCAACATCCCAGAAACTCTGTCACGAAGCCTGTAAAGTCAAACTACATTAAGAATGCTTCAGGAAGTTGATCTTTGTGAATTCCGATGTGAAGCTACGTGAGCTGCACCTCCCAGAGCAATGTACAGATCAGTTATCCACTGACACCTGCAATTTCAAAATGTTCCAGTTCTGCTCTCAGCTGGAAAATGTATATCAGAATCTATTTGAATAGGCATATTTTGAGAGAACATATATTGAACGTGGTATCCAGTTAGTATCGCTCTACCAGTGGTAGGCATCTGTCAGTAGAACAGAGTGGGAGGTATTTTTCAGTGAATGCTTTCCTTCCTCTGCACTTCGACCCCCAAACTCTGATCTTGAGGATACCCATATCCTTTGAAGCAGATTTCAGAGGGCAGGGCTGCAAGTGGAGATGAAATAGCTGGAAGCTGCCTCCTTCCTTGTTCCACTGATGCATCCTTTCCATCAACAGAGGGACACAAATGGGCTCTCTATATAGACACATGTGTTTTGAGAGGAAACAAATTTGTCTTTTCAGAGAAAACAATTTAACAAAGACACATTTGGATGTGAATTTTAATTATGTCTTTTTAAATAATGATTTCAGATTAATGTGGAGGTGGAACAGAACAGGCTTATGAGTGAACATCTGCAAAAGTGAGATAGACTCCAAATAGGGTGAGTTTTGCATCTCCAAGATACCCACACAGTCAACACATAAGCTGTGAACGAGAGTTGCTGCTGCATCTTAGAATTTGTTCAGTTCAAATGGACTGCCTTGATCCGTTCCATAAATGAAGCAAATATAACTTCTACCAGAGTCACCAGTGCGCTTCTTTTCTAGGTGCACCTGAAACAGTAATTCTTCACATATTCCTTTAGAGATACTTTTAAATATCCTGTGGTTCCAGCAGCTTTGTATATGAACAGCAGCCCCCAGGGATAAGCTCTGTCAGTTCAGAGGCTGGACTGATCAAGAGACTGATCCAAAATGCATTAGTTTCTGGGTGGGCTTGACCTGTGGAACAAAACACCACAGCTTGAATTCGCCACGGCATCAAACACTACCCCATGTTTAGAACATTTAGACGTATAATTTATCATATTGATTATGGCTGTTCTAATGTAGAAGAGCGTAAATAACTGAAAAGTCAAGAGAGAAGTGTTGAGCAATTTCTCATGTGTTTCACAGAGCGGCGACAGCTGAATTTAGAATGAAGTGTTGGCTGCTTATTATACTGATGGATATGGAGATAACCTCTGTTGGTGGCTCAGAAAAAGGTGTTTTAGACATGCATCCTTTACTGCATCATGGAAAATCCCTAGGAGGATATGTACGATAGTACAGTCCCTTTCGGTGAGGCAGAAATGTGAACTGTATTGCAGCAGAAAATATACTTGGGGATATTTTTTTGCAAGCCATTTTCTCTGATATAATACATGTTCCTTTCACTAGTATATGCACTTGTATGTTTACATTACCTTAATACATGTATCTTGTACACATAACCTAGCTGGAGAACAACACTAGAGAATCTGTTTTCTGTGTTGGACAAATAATTTTATTTTCCTGCTCAATGTTACTAGATGCCAGAATTGCAGTATGAATAGTTCACCAACTTGTTGCTCTTTGCTTTATCTGCTCCTTTTAAAAATGCAATTGAATGAATCTTTCCCTTCTGATTCGGAAGACATAGTGCGATTGTTGAAAATTCTGAGCCCATCAAAGTTTTTAAATCCCACAATTAAAATGAAAAGGTTCAAATCCAAAGTAAAATATGTAAGCTTGGGTGCATATTGCTGTGTGTGTGTGTCCCTTCATGTTAAAGTGGCAAAATCCATTATACGTACTTGGGTTTTTAGAGCTTAAAGGTCTTAATATAGACTACAGAAGAAAGAGCTTAGTGAAAATCCTCTCTAAGTTTATGAGCATAGCGAGAACATAATTAAAGTTAACCATGAGAATAAAAGGTAGGAGAAACCAGTACAAAAATACTATACAATCCACCACTGAGTTATCTTGAGATAAATCCAAATGAAGATTGGCTTTTAACATTATTTTATTTAGAGCTGCATCTGCACCATATTATTAAACATCACCAATGATCCTTCCAAACTTCAATTGTTTTTAATGTTAACCCCATAAAATATTTAAATGGTGAGCAACTTCCAGCATGAGTTGTCCCCCCAGTTTGAACCAGCGGTGCTCCTCAGTAATGCCTCAGAAATTCCAACCAGTTTTGTCATACACAATCTGATACTCTTTAAAGAAACATCAGAAGCTGCCTTATATTGAGTCAGACCCTTAGTCAGTCTCGGTAAAGGTAAAGGAACCCTGGATGATTAAGTCCTGTCAAAGGCGACTATGGAGTTGCCACGCTCATCTCGCTTTCAGGCCGAGGGAGCTGGTGTTTGTCCACAGACAGCTTTCCTGTGGCCAGGATAACTAAACTGCTTCTGGTGCAACAGGACACCGTGACGAGTGCCAGAGCACACGGAAACTCCATTTACTTTCCCACCGCAGTGGTACCTATTTATCTATTTGCACTGGCATGCTTTTGAACTGCTAGGTTAGGAGGAGCTGGGATGGAGCAACGGAAGCTCACCCCGTGGCGGGGATTCAAACCACTGACCTTCTGATCGGCAAGCCCAAGAGGCTCAGTGGTTTAGACCACATAGCCACCCGCGTCCGTAGCTCAATACTGCACACTGACTGGCAGAAACTCTCCAGGATTTCTTCCATTATTTAGCTGACTTTCTAGGGGACCCAGGCCACAAAGGAGTCATAAAGACACCTGCGTGTAATGTCTAGTTTGGACCCAAGAAGCTGACCTTAGGCTTATGGATAGGACAACAATCTGTATTACAATCAAGTCAAATGACAACTGTTATTTGCCACACTCCCACCTTAAGACTCCTCTTTTACACAATATTTTATAGTTCATTACATTTGCTTATATAGCTAGGTTTAGTAATATGCACATTTATTGGCAGTATTAAAAGCCATGTTTAACAACTAACTCCCCCCCCCCCATCTTAAAATAATTTGAGAGAACCACAAACTCCATATGCTAATAGCAGCCAAAGGAAGGATTTTCCTTGCTGGAGTTGTCTTGTAAAGTTTGCAGATGATACTAGCACTACTCCTGAGTTCCTTTGATGCTAAAAATGGCTAGGTAATTTACTTTTCCTGTTGTCAACTCTGAAGAAATTAGATTAGGCATTCCCAGAATGAATGATGTGCATTTAAGACTTGCACAGCCAAGTCTTGGTGGCGTAAAATATGCTATGCCCAATATCTTTCTTAAAAAGCTTCCCAAACCTCAAGATTTCACATTGCACATCTGCACTCAGTAATGTAGTGAAGCTAAAGACCATGCATAATGTATCAATCTCATGGGGCTAGATGAGCAATGATATCTATTTGAACAAGTGTATGTACTGCAGAAGCATCCTTCAACACATTGGCTGGGTATGAGGAGATCTGAAAGTTATTGTGGGGGAATGTCTCATTGCCTGGAGGCTAATATTTATCTGCATTGAAAAAAGAAGAGGAATGCTCCAGTGTTCTATCAGAGGAATAGAATATTAGAAGGAAGCAACAATGTGTTGCCACAGCGGAGAATTCAGTCACCAGAAGCAAACCGAATGGGGAGGCAGTCCATATAAAAGCAGTCTTGTTGTTTGAAGAAGCTGAAGCTGTCTGATACTTTTGTCTCTGTCTAACGCAATTGCCAATTAAAACCCAGAGTTAATATGAAACTCAGAGTTAATATGTGGCACTGAAGAGGCTTAGACTGTGAGGGGGGGGGAGATAAGAAAAGGCATTCATTACATTACATTACATTAGAAACAAAACAACATCTAAGCAGATGTTGCTGTTATTATCATTACCATCATTGCCATTTATTTCGTTTATTAATCGCATCCTACAAAGTACCTCAAAGCGATTTTACAACAGAGTACAATCATACAGTGGGTTTGCTTGCTTGCTTGGTTTTATGGTTAAAAATTAGGTAGCACAAAAGGGAGAGAGGTGACGGTACAAATATATATAGAAGCATAGAATTATAGAGTTGGAAGGGACCACGTGGGTCATCTAGTCCAACCCCCGAAAATGCAGGAATCTTTTTGCCCAAAATGGGGCTTGAACCCACAACCCTGAGATTAAGAGTCATGCTCTGCCGGCTGAGCCATTCCTTATAAGTAATCTCATGTATGTACATTGGTACACTTATTAAATCACATTGACTTCGGTGGAATTTGCATTAAAATACTGTATCCATTTACCTGGGGGCATGTTCTGTTTCACTCAATGGAACTAACTTCTTTCAGCAGACATGTCTAGGGATTGCATTCCCAGGCTCCCTGTGTTCAGGACTGTAGTCTTTGCAACTCTCTTGCAATTGCATTGATTGAGAGCAGGCATGTCCAACTTTCAAGAGACTGAGATCTACTCCCACTGTTAAAAAAAAATGGCAGTAGTGATCTACTGGCCATGATCTACCACAGTTGTTGAGCTTTTTTTAGGGAGCCAAAGGGGGTGGTCCTGAGATCTACCGCGATCTACCATGGGGACACACACACTCCCGTGATCTACCAGTAGATCGCAATCTACCTGTTAGACATCCCTGGTCTAGAGAAGGTAGTTACTCATGATCCCACTTTTAGTACTGATTGTGCCTGCAGAGGTTTTGGGGTGACGATCGTGCTTTGTTTTCACTTGGTGCATGCCCCATTGTTTCCTGCCGAAATCTTGTGATTTTTTATATCACAAATGTTCTGGATGGGCATCAAACTTGTTATCTCTTATTTATTATATGAAAAATACTGAGCTTGAGATACTTAACCTGCTACATGTCCTCACCTGCTTCTTTTAATATGAACAACAAAGGTGATGCTGTTGATTTTCCAGCTTAGTTTATTGTGTATTCTTCACTTTGTTTGAAAATCACACGGGGATTGTTTCTGTGCCAGCCTGGACTTTGCTTTTCCTATCTCAGGGACAATATTTGGCAAGGCTCAGTCTGAAACATCTGGGTCATTCAGCTGACCAGAATTTATCCTTCTTTTGAGTATATTGAAAAGATCATTATATATGCATGCACTCTTTATTTTATCAGGTATGAATTGACGTATTCAGCACCTCTTAGGCCAATGTTCATGTTGCAACAAAGCTATCCTTTGACTTTCCAGCACCTACTAAAGACTTATTATTATTCCTACAGGCATTTTAACTGAATTATGTTATTATAGTTTTAACTGATTTTCCTTTCGTTTATTTACTGTACACAGTTGTGATTAAGTGGTATCTAAGTTCTCAAAATAAATACAGTAAAATTCACACAAGTTCATACTTTGTGCATCAAAAATGTACCCAAAATATGTCTAAAAATACATATAGAAATGCGTACTTTCTGAGAAAATGGTTGATAGCCAATGTAAGTCATTATCAGGGTACACTTTCAGCAATTGTTCTCTGAGTATTATTTGCTTGTATATCACTCAATATAGGTTTTTAAACATGTATTTAAAGGCATATCTAAATATTTCGTGGCAGGTTTTTTTTAAAAAAAAGAATGCATCCAAAACCAACATGGACCAGAAATAAACAGATCCTTACATCTCTAGGCAGATTCTTTTAATGTGTTGGAGGCAGCATTGCACCAGCAACTGGAGTCACTATGAGGTGTTTCCAATGCTAGTCCTACTCAGAGTAGACCTATTGAGGTTAATATACACAACTAAATTAAGTTCATTAATTTCCATGGGCTTACTTTGCACAGAGCTCAGCTGGATACAACTTTAATGGGAATTTACACTTTTTTTCTTCTAGAAGGAATATGGAAAATATTCTTTGAACATTAGTTCATTTGGCAACTTCTCTAGGTTTAAAGTTGTTCTTTATGTGCCAAATTAGCAGACCTTAAAATACTGTCATTTAAAAAATGATTGAATGTGTCATTTAGATACAGTAATGTATTATTCAGCTTTTCCTCCCCATACAATTTTTTTTATATATAAAAAAAACTTCATAAAGTTGAAAATGTTTAAAGAAGGATTTTGGTTTTGTTTGTGATTCTGCCAGGCTGGACCATCTGTCATTCTTCTCAGCTATCTCTCCATAGGGATAAGCAGATGAAAATGTCTACAGTGTTGGAAAAATTAGATTTTTTAAAAAAAGTTTGTCAATTTCCAAACAAATTGATAGGGCTGGGTGATGCAAATACATTCTAACACCATTAACATATTGCATTTTTCTTCTTTAATGTGTAAGGGATCAGTGGAGATTGGATGTGCATGCACCTTTAAAATGTTTATTTACCTAAAAATGTATCTCCTGCTTTTTGACAAGCTCTGGAGAATACTAGGAGAACTGCCTAGAAGTATAGTATAGTCCCTAAGCCTAGACCAGGTTTCCTCAACCTTGGCCCTCCAGATGTTTTTGGCCTACAACTCCCATGATCCCTAGCTAGCAGGACCAGTGGTCAGGGATGATGGGAATTGTAGTCTCAAAACATCTGAAGGGCCGAGGTTGAGGAAGTCTGGCCTAGACTAACTAATCAAGAGAGGACGGACATTAAGAAGCAATACTTATGGTAGGCTTCCTCAGATACTCCTTCTGATGCCTGATTGCTCTGGGAAAAGATACAAAGACATAGGTGCATATATCAGAATAGAGTGAATTGCGCCTCCGGATAAAAAATATAATTGAGTCATGGGTACCAAGGTCTGGGAAATACAGGCTGAGAATATTTTAGTCTATGTTAAAACAACTAGGACACTGTTTGTGCCAAATAAATATTAAAGAGCAAAAGAGAGCCTAGTCTGACTATTAGATGCTGCAAAATCACTCAGAGTTATCCAACCTTTACCTGACAGCACATAAGCCTCATGGCTTAGTAAGTTTATGGAACTGGGTTGATTAATGCATTAATGCAGGAATGTCACATAACATTTAGGAAACTTCTCCTCCTCCTTTGTAAACTGTGAGGATCAATGTTTTCAGACTCACTATGGTGCCTGAAAATATAATAATGAAACAAAAAATATTCAACACTCAGAGGCCACGAAAGCTGGAAACACATATTGTATAAAGTGACATAATTTTCAATATGTTATAATGCAGAAAGTCATTTGTATTAGGATTAAAGAACAGAATTGCTCATTGATGAATGCTAAGTACCATCTTTTTCTCCTCATTTTCTCCCTGCATTTTTCTTATAATCTCCCCATGCAGTCTGAACTATCAATTCAAATGGCACTTTAAAAGACATTACAACCCAGATGTAAACACAGAAATAAATTAGTTGTAGGGCTGTGCTTTGGTTAATCATTTATTCACAAAGTTGTACCTAGAGTGATTGACGGGCGAGGTATGCATTATAAATTTATCTGGAGGAGACTGAGGGGGAAAGTGCCCATTTTCTGTGACCTCAATACTCATTTGCAACTGTAAATCCCTAATTTATAATTTCTTCTGAAGCAAATGAAAATCCATCTGTTTTTCCCTTCTGCCTGCCAACACTGATGGGCAGTTCAGATGTTATCTGGTGCGACTTTGAGCAGATCAGCAGGTGCAAAGCTTCATTTCTGCCAGAGTTTACCAGAGTTTTATCCGGGAATGTATGCTCAATAGAAGGCTGGTCCCTGGAATTAAAGAGTGTATGGTTTTTAATAGCCTCTGGATACAAGATAATGCCATTCCCACATATTTAGGTTTCAGGTGAAGAAATTCCAGGCATACTATCCAAACAGTCTCTCCTTGTAAATCATACACTGAAGGCTCAGCCCTTCAATATCCCTGTGGTACCTCTGTGCACTTTGGGAAAGTCGGAGGTCAGAGAAATTACTATGGCAAAGCTATAGTTAACATGTTAGACATGGCAGCCCAAAATATTTGGAGGAGTGAAAAAGGACAAAGTAGGTTGGGGAGGCAAAAGATAGTGAAGAACTCACCTTCGTTGGTTAATGAACTCCTGGTTCTTAAACTGTATTCACAGTATGTGAACATTTTTTACAACCAGCCTTTTTCTCCTCTGAAAGAGAATGACGTGGCTTAAGGCGCAGAATGGATATAGCAGGGTGTTATCAGATATGCAGCAAACACTGCCATTAGTCTGTCTTTATGCTCCTGAACATGACAGGCATTAGCTGAAAACCACTTGCAGCAGTCCAGATCAGAAGATCACTTGGGAATAATTAAGCAGGAGCAGTATTGCAAGCTTCAATGCTGTATCCAATTAGGTGGAAGGTAACTCCATTGAATGCAATAGGATTTACTTCTGAGTAGACATCAAAGGGTTTGCACAGGCTCTAGGGATGGGCAAATTTGTCAGTTTGGTTGCTCTTGATTTCTCATTTTTTCAAGCCGTAAGTGTATTTCTCCACATTTCTGCAGCAGTTTGCATTTTTAAAAAAAGACTTCATGAAAATTCATCAGTATTTTAGTGCAAATATTTCCTAATATTCACATACTTTTGTGCAATTTTGATTGATGTGTACATTTTTGCAAGCAAACATCCTTAACATGATGCATTGTGCATATTATTTCCACTAATGGATGCATTTTTATGCACACTTTCCTCCAATATACCAATTTCTATAAATGTTGTTTGGTTGGGAAACTGCATCACAACATCCACATATGTCCAAATTCCAAAACAGAACTGTGAAATCAGTGAACTCAAGTTACTTAGAATCATAGAATTGTAGAGTTACTTGTGTAAATGGATTTCAGTGGGTCTACGCTGAGTATGACTAAGCTGGATATCACCCTTCATCAATTAATCTGCAATTCTAACTGCAGTTACCAGAGGTTGTAAGCTCCACTGAATACAATATCACACACTTCTGAGCACACATGCCTGGGCTTGTAATGTAAGACACTCATACGTTCTGTGGCAGGTGTCACTGAGATGGTTGGGATGCCGCCATATGCAACTGTTGAGTCACCATTTTTGATACTATAAAATCCAGCAGTTATATAGACATCTCCATCCTTAGGCAAAACAAACAGGTTCCTTGTGGTGGAGAGGAGCAAGTTTAAGTCTGCCCTGTCTGAAAGTGACTTATCCCCCTTCCTTGTATTTGACCAACATTTAAAATCTCTAGAGAATCCCCTGGCATTCTGAATGCCTTTACTGCCATGTGCTGCTAGGCTAGCTTTGTATTAGCACTGCTTGACTGAGGGGATGCAG